GTGGGTCCTGGAGGCGACCCCAAGAGAGCATGCCCTGGGGCAGAGGTGAGGGCGGAATGGGCACCAAGCACTTACCTGAGAGAATGAAGAAGATGCCAGAAACGAAAGCTAGGATGGTCCTCTGAGGGCGGATGTGGCCAATGTTGCTGATGACGAAGGCCGTGAAGACCAGGAAAAGGCTCACCATGGGGAAGGGGGTAGCGGTTCGGACAGTCTCTAGGGGAACGGCAGGGGGAGGGGCGGGGTGAACCTTCCGTCCTAGAAGCTAAAGCTCCGCCCCTCGGCCCACAAGTTCCTCCCCTGCCCGCCCCCGTCCCTACACAGAGGCCCCCCCCTCACTCAGGATGTTCTCGGTGTTCTCGGTCACCAGGTTAATCTCTGGCTCAAGAAAATATTCCGAGGCCACGCAGCGACCCTTCTCCCGGCCTGCGGGGAAAGAGAGCGTCTCGTCAACCAATCATTCGGCGAATTTGACAGGCACCTACTCTGAGCTGGGGGCTGCGGTGCAAAGATGGACAGAGTGGGAGCTGCTTCGAGGAAGGCTCCCCGGGTCCTTGTGGGGTTGGGGGCACCTGGGTGCACGAGAGAAGCCTAGGCCCCTAAAGGAGTGGTGGGGAGGGGAGGGAACACCAGGGGGGGGGGCGGGGGGGGGGGGGGGGGAACACACCAAGATCCCTGTGGGAAATAGGGGCTGGAGAAGGAGGATGCCTAGGTCCCAGGGGTGAAGGGTAAGTCCCCAAAGGCCTGGGGCTGGGGGAAGAGTGGTCAAGGTGCCTGGGGAGAGGGGAAAGGTCTCCAGGGTCCCTGAGGGGCTGGGGCTGGGGGAAGGTCCACTGAGGTTCCTAAGGGGGAGGGGCTGGAACTGGGGGAGAGCCTCCGGGGTCCCTGAGGGGGAGGGTCCGGAGCTGGGGGAGGGCCGCCGGGGTCCCGCTACCTGCGAAGAAGCAGACCCTCCAGAGGCCGGCGTGCAGCGCCATCTTGACCTCGGTGCTCTGGTTCTGGGGCAACACTGTGCCCTCCTCCATGTAGAGCCAGTAGTCGGTGCTGACCGCGATGCCAACCAGGAGGAGGCCGCAGGCGCCGAACACGCTGCTCAGCAAGGTCAGCGCGCGGCTGCTGCACGAGCTCATGGCGGCGGCGGCCGCGGGCGGGAGGCGCGCGGGGCCTGCGGAGAGACAGGCGGCCGGGCGGACGGAGAGGCGGGAGCGCGGGGACGCGGGAATGGAGGGAGAGCCAGCCCAGGCAGGCGGCCTGGCCTCCCGCTCTCTCCCAGACCCAGGAGGCCCTCCCCGCCTTCCTGGGCAGCCGCCACCCGACCCCAGCCCCGACCGCATGCCGGTCCCCCCGCAATGAGCTCCAAGCTTCCTCTCCTGGGAACTGGAGATGGCCGTCTACCTCCCAGACTCGGACCCAGACCGTCCCTTCTCCCTCTGGGACGCAGGCATCCCGGCTCCCAGACCTTTACCCTGTCCTGATCCCCTACTACTGGGACCCAGGTATCCGCCCCCGCCCCCCGCCCCCACTCCAGGCTTCCTCCTTGGGGCCCTCGAGATCCTGGACTGCCTCGTGTCTCCTGGCCTCAGTCTTCCCTGCTCAGCTCCCCATCCCCATCCCCTCCGGGATCCAGGCATTCCAGAGCCCCAACCCCTTACTCATTCCAGGTCTCCTGACTAATGGACTTAGGCATCCACCCCTCCACGAGCTCCTTCTTGTCAGGGACTAGGTATATCCACTTGCCTCCTGAAGGCTGGACTCAGGGGTCGGTATCTCCCTCTAGAGCCCGGCTGACCGTCCCCCTCTCCTCCCCGCCCCATGCACCGGCCCCAAGAGTTCTCTGCTCCCTCCGCCTAGCCCTCTGTGACACCTCCCCAGGACCCAGGCGTTCCAGGATCCTGCTTCCCACCTGGGACGCAGGCTTCCCCTCTCCATCCATCAGTCAGCTGGACTCCCCTAGGGGCCAGAAACATCCCAGTCTCCCAACCCCGCCAGGGACCCCTGGCCTGGCCGATCTCACCTCGCTCAACGCTGGGCGGACGCTCGGGGCTCCGGGCTCCGCAGCCGCATGTCCGGCCCCGCGGCCTCCCTGGACCGGCCCCGCCGCTCCCGGCCCCCGGCGTCCCGGCCCCCGCCCCCCTGGGCTTCTTCTTCCTCCTTGGCCTCCGCTCCGACTCCGACTCCGGCTCCGGCTCCGGCTTGCTCTCGGGCCCCGGGCCCAGCCTCCTCCGTCCCTCCCTCCTTCACTCACTCCTCGGCGGACGGAGACGGGAGCAGGGAGCCCAGGCCTCTCATTGGCTGCCGAGGAGGAGGGGAGGGAAGCAGGGAGGACGCAGAGGATGGGGATGGAGAGAGACCGAGACACTGACACAGAGACAGACAGAGACAGAGACAAAGAGACCTAGCCAGAGAGCCGGGAAGAAGAACGTGGAGAGAGACAACGAGATTCAAAGTGGGACAGAGACCCCAAGCGAGGGAGGAAGGCGATGAGGTTTGCAGCTGGACCGACAGAGGGCAAGAGGAGGGAGCCGACGAGAAACAGTGGGGATAGACAGGGAGCGACGCCCAGAGCCCGGGTGAGAGAGGGGGGCACGGGTCCGAGAGACAAGAGACGAGAAGATGGAGATGCAGAGACAGAGACACTCACGGGAGAGACATTCAGGGAAAGAGGGGCAGAGTCAGAAAGGCGCAGTGAGATCGGATAGAGCACCGACGAAGCGGGAGGAATGGACCGCAAGCCAAGCCTGCAGGGGCCGGGTCGGGGGGCGCTGGGCGGACGGAGCCGAGGCAGGGCCGGGTCCTGCAGCCTTCACAGAGCCTGAGTGAGCCCCCCCCCCCCCCCCCCCCCGCCCCAGCGTGATGTCAGCGGGCCGTTGTGCGCTTCCCTCCCCTCCTCCTCTCTTAAAGGCGCAGGGTCCGAAGCTGTTCTCATTTGGCCTGGGAAGGGGGATTCCAGAATGACCCCTGAGAGACCCAGAGACCCCTCCTCTAGTCCCTCCCCTTCAGTGACCCTCAGCCTCGACACAATCAGACATTCCCTCATCCAGCCCCCATTAATGACCCAGAAGCCCCATTCTCTCAGGGAAGACGGCCTTTTCTTCAATGCTACCATTTCGAGGACCCAGGAGATCCCTTCCCTAGTCCCACTTCCTCACAGACTCAAGTGCCTAGGATCCCGCCCCCCTTGGGGACTCAGGCTTCTCTTTCCCCAATCCCATCCCCTCAGGCACCCCGGCGTCCCCTCCCCCTGCCCAGCCTCCTTGGAGAAGCCAGGAGACGTCCCTTCTAGCCCACTTGCAGAGGGATTCAGTTGGCCCAACCTCCGCCCCTTCGGGGAACCAAGAGCCCCCTCCCCCTGCCGGGCTCTAACAGGCATCTAGTGTCTGGACTGAGCTGAATGAGACTTGGAAATTCAGATAGAGTTCGGCTGCTGCTCCCCCGCCCCTTACCCCCCCCCCAGGACTACATTTCCCAGCAGCCCCCTGCAGACAACCCCCACACACACATACACACACACACACCCCCCACCACCACCACCAAGGGCTGGTAGGGGACAGGAGTACGGGAGCTGGCCGCAGTTGCTGATGGGAAATAGAGTCTGGGTGTGAAGGGGAAGATTGCGGGGGGGGGAGAGGCGGGGGAATGAGAACAGTGGCAACTATTTCCAAAGTGGCCCCTCAGGTCCTCTCTCCATCTCTCACGTACCCCGAGCCTGAATCTTTGATTCTCTCTCACCATCTCCGACTCTCTGTCATTGTCTCCCTGTCTCCCGACGTTGGTGCCTTTTCACTGTCTCACTGTCCTGGGCTCAGCATGCCTCTGACTCTCATTATCCTAGTCTCACCATCTCTGATCTGGTCTCTCCATCTGTCCTCCTCTCAGCCTCTTCTCCTCCACCTCTGTCTTATGGATTATTCCTCCCTCCCTCCCTCCCCCACTTCTTCTCTCTCTTACCCTTCCTGCCCCCCCTTCCCCTTCCTAGCACTATTTTTGGTCTACTATTTAGAGGGTAGACTTAGAGTCAGGATAACCTTCCTTTCCAATACAGGCAGGCAATAAACGTGTATTAAATGCCTACTATGTGCCAATCACTGTGCTAAGTGATGGGGATGCAAAGAAAGGTAAAACAGTCCCTGCCCTCAAGGAGCTTATAATCTAACAGGAAAAATAACTAGATAGAAACAAGCTATCCAAAGGATAGGAACACGCCCCCCCATGCCCCCACCCCCGCTCCACATAGCTGCTAGTGATTTCCTTTATAAAGCAGGGCTCTGACCATGTCACACAATAGGATCTCCCTATTGCCTCTAAGGATCACTTGAAGGCCCCAAACTACCATTCCAGCTTCCCTCTTCCAAGAAAAGTTGCCTTGTTTTCATTTCATGTGTTTATGTATATTGTCTTATCCCGTAATAATCACAACACCCTCCATTTCTGTAACACTTTAAAGTCTCTTACAGACATTATCTCATGTGGTCTTCACAACCCTCCTGGGAAGCAAATGCTATTATTACCCCCATTTTACAGATAAGAAAGAGTTTGAGTTTGACTAGTCCAAGGCCACTCATCTAGTAAGTGTATGAGACAGGATTCGAACTTGGGTCTTCTGGACTCCAATACTTGAGCCTCCTTGAGGATAGCTGCCTCTGGATAAAATGTAAAATCTTTGAGGGCAGGTGTTGCTTCATTTTTATCTTTGCATTTGAAGTGCCTAGATCAGCGCCCAGCACTTAGGAGCCATTTCATAAAACCTTGTTGATTGGCTGACCAAGGTGAGTCTCAACTTCCTTCAGATTGGAACCTCATCTTTGGCACCTACGTGCCAGGGTTCTGCTGAGGCTCCAGTGAGAGACTCTCAAGGGCTATGCTTCAATTACAAGAATCATTCAATGCCTTTCTTTCTCATTCTTCTCACTGTCCCTATTTAGCTGTGTCTGTCTTTTCCTCAAACTGCCTCTTCTTTCCATCCCTCCATAACCCAGGACCCAAGCAAATACAAACTTAGCCAGCATCAAAACCCCAACTTTATTTCCCAGCCCTGAGGGATGGGGTGGGAACAGATATAGGGAGTCTGACTGAGGGAGGCCTCAGGGGCCCAGAGAGGTGAATCCAGGGCTCCATGAAGCTGAGACTTGAATCACACGCGGCAGCAGGAAAGGAGTTTGGCAGTGATTGGGGATGGGGAAGGGGAAGTTCTAGAACACTGGCTGGTGGAGAACACCAGAGGGTGGGTCATATCATGGAAGAGTGGGTAGATCTGGATGGTGGCCCCAACTGGGGACCATCTCCACCCTCCCCTCGGGTCCCAAGGTGTGGGGGCACAGCCTCCCACAGGACCTCGAATTGAAGGTAGCCTCTAGGCTCAGGACAAGGGATGGGGGGGATTAGGGGTGCTAGAATGGGGGTGGAGAACTAGAACATTGGTGGAACTAGAATTAGGAAGGTAGATCAGGATGAGGGGAATTAGAATGAGGGCAGGGTATGCAGGATGCCAGTCCTAGGTAGGAGAAAGGGGGAGAGAGCAAAAAGATCTGAGAACTACCCCCAGCCCCACCCATCCAAGAAGAAGGGAAAGCAGCAGAGGGGCCTGGGTCCAGCACAGGGTGCTCACAGGACAGGCACAGGGCTGGCACCAGCCCCAGGACTGGGGAGCTCTCGAGCATCAGGATGCACAAAGTCGGGGTTAACATAGGTGAAGCCCTGGAAATCAGCCTGGTCAATGCTGGCCAGGACTAGGCGGTCAGGGGGGGTCAGCGCTGGGGCTGCACGAGTGAAGAATTTGTCGAAATTCTCACCACTGCGGCCACACTGGGGGAAGAATAGGGTTGGAGGTTATTGCGGTCCCTTCCTCTTCTCCCCCAAGGTCCTTTACCCTGTCCTTGAGACCACACACACACACACACACACACACACACACACACACACACACACACACGCACACACGGATGGGACTGAATAAGGACCCGGACGATACTGACTGGTCGTGGCCTGAAAGGAGGAGGGATCTCGAGTCTCTCCAGGCGTTCCCAGTCAATCCAGCGGAAGAAGCCATGAGCTCGAATGGCCACCTCTCCGTCCGGCCCAGAGCCCAGACGTTTCACTGGGTGTTTAGTGAGGAACTAGGAAGGAAGAGGCAGAAACAAGGAAAATCCGAGTGAAAGAGACCAAGACAGAGAAACAAAGCCAAAGAAAGGGGGTAGAAAAAGACGGAGGGAGAGAGACAGAAGGGGGGGAGAGAGAGAGAGGGGGGGAGAGAGAAGGAGGGGGGGGGAGAGAGAGAAGGAGGGAGGAATAGAGACAGAAGGAGGGAGGGGAGAAAGGAAAGAGAAGGAGGGAGGAAGAGAGAAGGAGGCCGAGCCCAGAAGTTGGACCTGGACAAAGATGGCGCCACTGGGCAAACAGAACGAAATGAGAGACAGAGAAAGGCAAATAACGCAGACAGACTCTCAGAGAACCACAATCAGAACAACTAAACTTCGTTCCATCCAGTACGGGAAGTGCCTACCACTGTGCCCACCAGGCACTCTGCTAGGGAAAGCCCTCAAGGAGCTTCCATTCTACTGTGGTGACACAGAAGAAAAACCAGAGACAAAGAGTAAGGGAAACACCAACCTAAACGGGAGGTGAAGGCACAGCAAAGGGGCGAAGACCGAGGCACAGAGACGCTGAGACAGAGACAAACCAGCGTAAACATCGGGACGCCAAGAATTAGCCTGGAAACGGCAGTTGTTCCGTCAACTCCGTGACCCCATTTGGGGTTTTCTCGGCAAAGATGCTGGAGTGGTTTGCCATTTCCTTCTCCAGCTCATTTGACAGATGGGGAAACTGAGGCAAACAGGGTGAAGTGACCTGCCCAAGGTCACACAGCTAGAAGTGTCTGAGGCTAGATTTGAACTCAGAAAGATGAGTCTTCCTGACTGCAGGCCCGACTGCACTAGTGCTGCGCACTATGGCGCCACCTAGCGGTCGAGAGATCGGCAGAGGTGAGCCCAAACAGAGAAAGACGAAGATGGAAACGAGAGGCGAGGGAGCGAGGCTCAGACACGGGGGAGAGGAGGGAGGAGCTGCCCGGCAGCCTGCGGGCTCACCCCCTTGCACACTGCTACCGCCTCCCGGGACAGCGCCTTCGGGTAGGTGACAGTCTGCTCCATGATGGCCTGAAACAGCTCTTCCTCGTCCTCCCCGTCAAACGGAGGCTGGGGACGGAGACCAGAAGTCAGCGCTCTCCGGGGCCGGCCCCAGCTCGAGCGGGTCTCTCTCCAGCCCCGCCTTCTCACCTGGCCCGCCAGCATCTCATAGAGCAGCACTCCGAAGGACCACCAGTCCACTGACTTTCCATAGGGCTGGTAGGCGATAATCTGCTCGGGGGACAGCGGGCCTTTAGGAGACCAATCCAGGCCCCGCCCCCTCGGAACCCCGGGGAGGCGCGCCCCCTCATTGCATGCCGCCCCCTCCGCGCCCAGGAAGTCCAGACTCCTCCCCCCGAAGGAAAACGAGGCACCTCGGGAGCGATGTAGTCCGGGGTTCCGCAGAAGGTCCGGGTCGTGGTCCCAGGAAAGATGTTCTCCTTGCACATGCCGAAGTCCGTGATCTTGATGTGGCCGTCCGCGTCCAGCATCACGTTGTCCAGCTTCAGGTCCCTGCGGGGGAGGGGCCAGAGAGGGGCGGGGCGGGGTCAGGGAGCCTTGAGCTAGAACGGGGCGGGATTTGGGATGCCTGGCTCGGGGCGCGAGCTGGGGCGGTGGGCCCATGGGGAAGTGGATCCAAAAGGGGCTGGGCCTGGGGTCTTTGAAGGAGGCAGGCCAGGGGCAGGGTGGAGCCCCGGACCTTAAGGGGCGAGGCTTGGAGTATCAGGGCGAGGGAGCTCCAGGGTGGGATGGTGGGTGGGGTCCCCTCACCTGTAGATGATGCCCTGGTTGTGAAGGAAGAAGAGGCCGATTGCAATTTCTGCCGCGTAGAACCTGTGTGGGGCGAGAGGCAGAACACCAGAGTGGGGTCAGTACCTGGGTCCCCTTCCCTTCCCCTCCCCTCCCCTCCCCACCTTCTCTCGGGCACTCACGCGGCGTGCGGTTCCTTGAATTTGCCCAGCTGCTGAATGTGGTACATGAGGTCCCCGCCCGTCACGTACTCCATCACAAAGTACAGTCGGTCCTGGGAAAAGGAAGACGAGGCGCTCGCGGGGGACGGCCCCCTTCTCTGCCCTCGGCCCCCGGACGCCCAAAGCGTTCTGCGGCCCCTCCCCCGCAGCCTGGGGCCCCGGCTTGGGCTGGACGTGCTCACGGTGGTCTGAAAAGTGGAATGGAGCTGCGTGAGGAAGTGCGGCCGTCCGCCCAGTCCGCGGCCCCCCAAGGCCAGCACGCGCTTCTCCACGAGCGTGCAGTCCACGTCGTCGTCCTGCACGATCACGTCCTTCTTCAGGATCTTAATGGCGAACAGCTCATCGGAGCCCCGACGCTCGGCCAGCATCACCTGGGAGCCGGAGAGACCCGGGTGTCCAGCCTGGCTCGGGCCACGGGCGTCTCGGCCTCTCTGACACTTCCTCACTCCATCCCTGGGGACCCAGTATTTCCAGCCTCCCGCTCCTCTCCGGGACCCAGGCAGCCCCTCTCCCCCCTGGTCGGGCTTCCCATGGCCTCTAGCTCCCTTCCTCCTCTCCACTCCCACCCCAGGCCCTCGGGAGCCCAAGGTCCCTCTGGCCCTCACCTTGCCGAAACTGCCCTTTCCAAGCACCATGAGGAAGGTGAAGTCGGAGATGTGCAGGCGGCCCGAGCCCGAGCCGGAGCCAGAGCCGAAGAAGCATCGCTTGGAATCCGTGGGGCTGGGGGAGGGAGAGGGGGAGGGAGAAGGGCCCAGGCGCACCCGCTGCCCAAGAGGGAAGGAGCGAGGGAGGGAGGTGAGAGAGAGATGAGACTCAGGTGTTGCAGGTTCCCCCAGACCCACGCAACCCAGAGTCTCTGCAGCTGAAAGCCAGTCACCCAAATAGGGACACAAGAAGAGAGGCCTGTACACACACAGCCTACAAAGGCCTAAGAGACCTCTCCAGCTGGGAGCCAGGACAGCAGAGTTCCCAGCTGGAAACCCCACCCCCCAATCCCTGACTCTTTTGGCTTTTCTAATACGTGAAAGAAAAGAAATGGTATGGAACCCACAGCATGCAATAATGTCCTTGTCAGCTGTGAGCCAGAGAGACACAAAGAAAGAAAAAGGAAGGAAAGAAGAGAGGGAGGGAGGGAGGGAGACAGAGAGAGGGGAAAAGGGAGGGAGAGAAGAAGAGAGAAAAGGAAGAAGGAAGGGAGTGAGGGAGGTCACACAAAGAGACAGAGAACGCTCCAGAGACAATGACAGAGACAGAAAGCAGACCTGTGGAAGATAGAACCAGACAGCAGAGGCAGACACAGAGACTCAGGAAGCAGTCAAGGCCTAGGGAGAGGTAAGAAGCCCCCAGGTTCTTGGGGTCACATCCAGCCCTCCAGTTAGGCCAGGTTTGGCCCCCTCCTTACCTCATACAGCTCCAGGGGATAGTTACAGGCCTGTGGGGGAGAGAGAGAAAGAGTGCAAGCTTAGACTGAAGCTCAGCTCAGGGCTCTGGTCCCTGGAGGGGTCAGGTTTGGGGACCCAAGGGGCGAAAACTACAGGGAGCCATGAGGTGGTGCAAGGGCTTCGAAGGGAGAAGGGTACCTCGAACTTGTGCAGGAGCCCACAGTTGTCGGCGTCGGCCACGGGAACATTGTAATATTCACCCTCTTCTTGATTCAGTAACTTGTACCTGGCACACACACCACCCGGGAAGGGGACCACAACATGGGGGCAAGGGGAGACAGAGACCCCGGAGACAACAAGGGACAGAGACCCAAGGGGTACAGGAAGAGACCCCCACCACCACACACAGAGAGATCCCAAAAGAAGAAAGGGACACAGATCAGCACGAATCCGACGCGAGGGTGAAACGGCTCAGGCAGGAAGCGGGTGAGAACCCACAGAGAGAGGAAAAGAGCGAGCCCAGAGATAGCAGAGCCACCCAGACCCCAGAGTCAAAGAGGGGCAAAGAGAGCTCAGAGAGGGGAGTTGAGGGAGAGCAAGATACAGCCCCCCACATACACATACACAGAGAAACCTCAGGAACAATGAGATGTAAATAACCAGAGAAAGAAACAGTCACCCCCCCCCCCATGGTAAGAGACAAGTGAGGACAGAAATCCAGAGAGAAAGGAAAGAGGGGGAGAAACAGTGTACATGGAGATCCCCAAAATGAGGGGAGGAGGCCCTAGACACACAGGGACTGAGGAACGGGACATGTGGAGAGACCAAGGCTCCAGAGACAGAGGAAGACAGCAAGAGACCAGGGGAGGGGGAGGGGGAAAAGATTCAGAGATAGCCAGGTGCCAGGAGAGTGAGAGAGAGAGATCCCACACCCCAGGCCAGAAGAGAGACAAGATCACCAACAAAGACCAGAGAAATCAAAGATGTTCCGGCCCCAGAGATGCAGAAACAGAGAGGAGGTAAGTATGGCTAGGCTGGACCAGGGCCAGGAGCACTGTGGTAGGGCTGAGGACAGAGAAGGAGCCTGTGGTGGACCTGGCACGCCCTCCCCTTCCCCAGGGAGAGAGAGCAGCCTCACCAGCCATCCACGGAGGCCTTGAGTAGCTCCGAGACGCCAAAGGACATGGCGCCCATGAAGTCATTGCGGGACGTGCGGTCCCAATCCCAGACCTCGATGCTCAGGCGTCTCTCCACATCCCCGGGCTTCAGGGAGCTGCAGGAAGGACCAGTATCCCCTCAGGCCCAGCCGCCTTCACCTCCAACGCCTGTGATCACACCCCAGCTCTTCCTCATGGCGGGGCCCAGCACACCTCTAATCCCTGCTCATTCCTCAGGCAGCTCTTGATATCTGTCTCTCTCCACGGGCTGTGTCTGTCAGTTTTTGTCTCTGCTGGGCTGGTTTCTCTCTCAATATTTCCTCTCTTCATCTCTGTCCAGGTCTTTCTTTCCCTCTCTCTCTGCCTCTCTGTGTCAGTCTTACTCTAGGAGTCTCTCTCTTGTCTGTCTGTCTGTCTGTCTGTCTGTCTCTCCCTCCTTCCCCTTCTTCTCTCTTTCTGTCTCTCTCCCCCTCCTCTCTCTCACTCTATCTTTGTTTCTTGCCCCCTTCCTCCCCTCCTGGCCTCATCTATACTTGTCTCTCCTGAGTTTCTAATCTAGATCATCCCATGAACCTATCTAAACATTTTTGCTGTTCACTTGTGTCCAACTCTTCATGACCCCATTTGGGGTTTTCTTGCCAAAGATATTGGAGTGGTTCATTATTTCCTTCTCCAGCTCATCTGACAGATGAAGAAACTGAGTCAAACCGGGTTAAGAGACTCGCCCAGGGTCACACAACTAGTAAGTATCTGAGGTCAATTTGAACTCATGTCTTCCTGACTCCAGGCTCGGGCCTCTATCCACTAAGCCACCTAGCTGCCCTATCTAAAATTATTTTGTGTTTGTTTTCTACAGGCTTATTGTATATAGATCACTTTAGGACCTTCTGTTTTGCCCTTGGCATGACAAAAGTTAAACAGTCCCTGCCCTCAAGGAGCTTGCACTCTGGACAGGAGATAACAAATACATATAAAAGGTGATGGAGGAGGGACACTTAACAACCAGAGGGATGATAAAATGCCTAATGGGAGAATGTGGCTTTTGAGGCTCCAACTTGAAAGACGTTTATGGACTCTAAAAACTGAGGAGAGAGAGCATTACAGGCATGGGAGATGAAGGGGGGTGGGGAGAATCACCTTTGTCCAGAAGCCCATAATTATATGCCTACGTGTCTCCTCCTATAAAATGTAAGTTTCCTGAGATCAGGATCTGTCCCTTTTTTTGGCTTTGAATTCCCATCTCCCAGAAGGTTGCCTGGGACTCAATAGGGGCTTAATACATGTTTGTTGCTTGATATATCTGGACCCTGACATCAGCGGTGGAAAAGCCCTTATTGGGTGCAACTCTGTAGAAGGGGAAACTGAGGTCAAAAGGGGGGAGCATCTCATCGCAGGTCACACAGCCTAGACCAGAGGCTTGAACAGAAGCTGGGCTCAGAACTCTCGCTCTGGTGTCCTTCTGACCGTTTCTGGACGCCCCCCTCACCTCCGCATTGCCCTGTGCCACCCACCAAGGGCCAGTTTGGAGGACTTCTCCGCAGGCCCTCTCTGCCTTCTCCCAGGAGTGGAAGACTCACAACACGAAGGTCTCGTCCCACACCGGGTTTAGCGTGGCCTTCACAGTCCGGGTCTTCTGTTTGCTGACATTCTTCGGATCCGGAATCAGCTTTAGTTTCACGTAAGGATCAGACAGGCCATTGGGGTCCATGGGGATGAGGTTGCGTGCCTCGCCCACTGAGGATGGAAAGGAACTAGGCACACAGCTTGGGGGGGAGGGAGTGAGCTTGCATGCTCCAGCCCTTGCCCCCCCGTGGGAGACCCATGCAGTCCCTCCCCCATATTATCAAGGGAGATCTTATTCGTTAAGTGCTTAGCACAGTGCAAGGTACACAGTAGGTGCTTAATAAATGCAGATTCCTTCCCTCCCTCCCACTGTCCTGCCCCAAGTGGACCCAAGCTGTACACTCTCACCAGGTGGCAACCGAGACCGTGGGTCGGGGAGCCTCACCTGTGACGTGGATCTCATCCCCTGCCGGGGCTCGAATGCGCAACTGTAGGCGCCCTCGTCGCTCTGTGTGGTCCACACCGCACAGAGATGGCACACTTCTCACACAGCGCCGGTGCACGTTCATTTCGCAACCTGTAGGGGGCGCCCGGGGCTCAGCAAGAACTACGACTCCCAGCATCCCTCGTAGAGGGCTAGTAGAGGCCGCAGGGCATCCTGGGACATGTAGTCCCTAGGGGATTCGCAAGACCACCCCCCCACCCCACTCCTTCCCCCTCGGGTCAAACTGGTCCATCAGTGCTCTGAGACGGCTGAGCAGGGGCTCCATCCTTCCAGCAGCCTCTCAATGGGGTGGGCTGGCATCTCCTCCCTTCCACCTCCTTATATCCCTCCCCAGGGTATCTGGGAGTGGGGGGGGGGGGGGGGGGGGGCCGCCCCCCCGGGGCGAGGCCCCCACGAAGGGGGGGCCCCCCCCCCCCCCCCGCCCCCCCCCCCCCCCCCCCCACCGGGCCGCTGGCTGCCTCAGCTCCTGCACTCACAAGCGCACTTCATGCCCTGGTGTACCAGCCCATACAGCAGGGAACCACAGTGATCGCAGAAGGTCGGGCTGCTGTAGCTGTGCAAACGAAACTTGTGCTTGTTGCGGGGGTCCTAGAGGGCGGTGAGAGGGTCACCAGGGGTCCCGGTACAATCCCAGAATCCCCGCCTCCCTGCTGCGCCTGAGTCTCCCGGTCTCTGCCTCTAGTTCGTAGGACGGCCATCTCCCCATCTCTCTGTTTCTCCTCTATCTCTGTGCCTTGGTCACTGGCTCTGTGACTCCATCTGTCCATCTCTCCTCTATCTCTGTGCCTAGGTCACCTTCTCTGTGACTCCATCTCCCCATCTCTCTGCCTCTCCTCTATCACTGTGTCTGGGTCACTGTCTCTGTGCCTTGGCCACTGCCTCTGTGACTCCATCCCTCCATCTCTCCTCTATCTCTGTGCCTAGGTCACCTTCTCTGTGAGTCCATCTCCTCATCTTTCTGCCTCTCTTGTCTCTCAGGCTTTCTATGTTTCTGACTAGAGGGGCTGGTCTTGTGTGGAGAGGAAGGGAATTCATAGATATGGAGCCAGAAGGGAGTTTCTTAGAGATCACTGGGCAGCTCAGTGATGCAGTACCTAAATTGCTGGGCTTGGATTAAGGAAGATCTGAGTTCAAATCTCACCTCGGACATGTACTATGTGTGGTGGTCCTAGGCAAGTCACTCAACCTCTCTGCCTCAGTTTCCTTATTATGGGGAAAATAATAGCACTTCCCTCCCACAGTTGTAGTAAGGACCAAATGAAATAACATGTAAAGCGCTCTAGAGATGCTAGCTGTTGTTCTCATCAAATCTGGCCCCTTCATATTTCTGAGGGAGATATTGAGGACTGGAAACTTGCCCAAAGCCACAGTTGCATCTAAAGCCCCAACCTCCCTCCCACCTTTAAATGGGGGTGGGGGTGGGGACATCATTCTGCTGCCTCCCTTGTCTCTCTCAGCATCTCTGTCTCCTGTTTCTCTATCTCTGCCTTCGCCGCCATCTGCCTGGTTGTTGTATCTCTCATCCTAAAGATAACAACCACTCTCATTAAAGGTTTACAAAGCTTCTTCCTCACAGCAGCTCGGTGAAGGAGGTAGTCCCAGGGTTTACAGATAGGGGAACTGAGGCTCGGAGGAGCTGACTTGTCATGGTCCCACACCCAAGAAGAGGCAGTCAGCATTGGAAACCAAGACTCTATCTCCTGACTGCGGCTACAACCACCACTCTTTCCATCCCCTCACTTCATCTCCATGTCTTCTAGATTCGAGATCCAAGACCATGGACGTGTCTGCGGGCCGGGAGTCAGGCGACTTGAGTTGGAACCTTAGTTCTGTTCCTCCCTGTGTCACCTTGGGTAAGTCCCTTCCCTTCTCACTTTCCCTTATATATAATGAGGGAGGACTCCATGATCCCCAAGGTCCCAAGGGCCTTTCCGGTTAGTTCCTACATTTTGTGATCAATCTCTCCCTACCTTGATGTCTCTCCTAATCTCTCCCTGTCTTGTGGGTCATTCACTCACTCTCTCCTTGTCTTGGTCTCAGCGGCTTCCCAAAGGAGGCAGAACAAGACAAGGAAGGGCCAGCCCATTTGGACCTGAACTCAAGTAGCTTTGGGCTCTAGTCTCAGTCTATCCTCACGGTGTGATCCTGGCTAGTCACGTCCCCTCTGTAAGCCACAGTGTCCCAACAAAGACAGTCATCCTTGAACTGCCTGCTTCATAGGAATGATTCCGCCTTTTGGAAATTGTCGAGGCTAGAAATATGGTCTCCCCTTGTCTCTGTGTTTCTTGGGTCTCTCATGGATCGCTTGTCTTCTCTGTCTCCAGTATACATCCCCATCCATCTCTTTGACTGTTGTGCCTCTTAGGATCTCTCTGGACCTCTTCCCCACTACTGCTCTGTCTCTCAAGATCTTGTGTCTCCCTCACTATCTCTGCTTCTAGTGTCTGTCTCACTGCCTCTTTGTCACAGTGTCATCTTCATGTGTCTTCCTCTGCTGTCCTCCTAGATCCTGGAACTCCCCTGGCCCCACCTCTGCCTCCACTTCCCCTCCTCCCATTCTCCCGCTCCTCCTCCAGTCCCACGTATCACCACCCCCTCCCTAGATTTCCAGGCCAAGGGCAGAGAATGTGGGGCAGATGCCACTGCTTTCGGCCCGCCCTTCCTCCCCCCTCCCATAAAAATAGCTGGAGAAACTGGGCCAAGCACCTAGGGGGAGCTGGGGAAGGGGGGAGCAAGCCATAGCTCTGCAGAGACCCAGGCATAGGGGGCACTCACGTCCGTCTGGGGCCCCTTCCCTGCGCCCGGACACTCGAAGGTCACAAATTCGTGGCATCGTCGGTGAACCACGAAGCTGCAGACTAGCAGATAGAACGATGGATGGACAGAGACCAGAGAGACAGAATGAAGAAGACAGAGACACAGAGAAGGGTAGAGTCCAAAGAAAGATAAAAAAAGAAGACAAAGAAAGCCAGAAAGATGGAGACAGGGAGTGATAGAAAGGGATGGAGACGGGTTCAGAGAAAGAGACAAACAGACAGAAAAAATCGAGAATAGTTAAGTCATGGAGGAAGACAGAAATGGGTAATAAGGGATAGAAACAGACTCAGAAAATGAGAGATATAGAGGGGAAGATGCAGAACGAGGAAGAAAAAAAACAAAGAAAGAGACAGAAGGACAAAGAGAGAACCAGAGATTGCAAAGGGACAGAGACACAGAGGAAGACAGAGACAGAAAGAGACAGAGAAACGCAGAGAAGTGGGGAAGGAAGACCAAAGCCAAGAGAGAGAGAACCATAGATCCCCAAAAGAAGTGGATAGAGAAGGGTGGGGGGTGCAGAAAGCAGATAAAAACTTAGGAGTTCAATGAGGGGATCCTACTGCCGATTCCCACCCCCTCTCTGACTTACTGTGTTCCCAGAAACAGCTGTGGTCCACTTGGGCAACCGCCCCTTTCCCTCACCAAGCCCCGCCCTGAGGAAACCCGAATGAAGAGATGGGGTTGCCATGGAAACAGCACAAGGACCAGGGGGAGCCTGCCTGACCCTCTCTCCTGTTCTGGCTCTCCCTGCCTCAGCCCCTTTCTATCTTTCTCTATCTCTGTCTCTCTGTCTCCCCCCCCCCCCCCCCCCGAGCCCCCCTGTGTCTCTGCCTGCCCCCCTCCCCCCCCCCCCCGCCACTGGCTGTTCCCATGGTAACAGATTCCCCAAAGATCCTTCCCCACCTGGAGCTGCGGGGGCCCCCACACCCCTCCTTCCTCCTCCCAGGCCTGGCCCCGTCCTAGTCCTCAGAAGCTCAGGCTTCTGCTCCACACACGAACACGTGGGCCCCTCCCCCGAGACACGCGAAGCCCTCTGCTCTCCAGAGACCCCGGCCTCCGCATCCCCAGCTCTTACCTTGGCACTGAAGGCCCTGTTTGCCGATCCCCCTGAAATGAGCCAGACCTTCAGGTCAGTGGGATATGGGGCGGGGGAGGGGAGGGTCGTAGCGGAAGGGAGGGAAGGGACTCTCTCCCAGCCCCTGCCCCTAGGAAGCACTGTTGTTCCCAGCTCCTTTCTCTCAGAGACCCAGATGTGCCTCTCTCAGCCCTTGCCCCTCGGGGACATAGGAGTCCCCCTCCTCCAGCTCTACCCCTGGGGACCCCAAGGATTCTTTTCCCGGAACCCCTTCCCCTCGCTCCGCAGAGCTCCCTCCCCGCAGCTGCCGCCCCATAAGACCCCAGTCACCCTCTCTCCCAGCCTCCTTCCCCTAGGGTCCTGGAACCCCCTCCCCCAGCCCCGCCCCCTAGAGCCCCAGCGCCCAGCTTCCCTCACCAGATGAAGTCCGTGCAGTGGCTACAAAAGGTGGGCTGCTTGAAAAAGCGGGCTGTGAACTTGTGGCTCTTCACCTCGTGCACGACCTTCTGGCGCAGAGCCCCCTTCCTGCAAAACAGGGGCCGGGGGCCGCCCTCGGCCTCCCCACCTCCGGGGCCCAGTCCAGCCATGGTCCCACGCCTTCCCTCCCAGGGAAACTGGGGAGAGACTCTGAGCTAGAGACCTCAGGCCTGGAAGAGGTGGGGAGGGTAGGGAAGGCAGGGACAGGCAAGGGCGGGGAAGGGAGGGGGAGGGATCGGTGAGGGGAAAGAGTAGAAATCTAGGAGAGATTGGAAGAGATAAAAGACCGAGATCCCGAGGGAGAGGCCGAGGAGCCCGGGGGGGGGGGGGGGGGGGG